GCTCGTCCTTGCGCTGGTCGCGCATGGCCTTGGCGGAGGCCTTGTTCTCCTCGAGCTCCGCGGAGAGCTGGCCGGCCGTCGCCGCCCAGGCCTCGAGCTTGGCCGCGAGGTCGCCGACGGCGTCGAGCTTGACGTCGCGGCCCGCGGCCTTGGCGACGCGGAACTCGGCGCTCATCTGGTCCATCTTGCCCGACAGGAGGCCCGCGTAGATGGTCTCGATGATCGCGTCCTCCAGGTCCCGGACGTTGTCCACCGCGAGCTCCTCCTGCATGGTCGCGTAGGCGACGACGGCGGACTCGCGCGCGAGGCTCACGAGGGACAGCTGGCGCAGCTTCGTGAGCTGCGCGGGCGTCAGCGGCGGCATGGCGTCGCCCTTGGCCCGGTAGTCGCCGTAGGTCCCGAACGCGAAGATCTCGAGGAGGTCGAGGTGGGGCGCGTGCTCCGTGCCCCGGAGGGCCTGCACCGAGGGCATGGCGAGCAGCTCGCCGAAGACGTAGATGCGCTTCGACGACAGCGTCTGCTGGATGATGCCGACGACGGCGCGGCCCTTGGCGCTCTTGGCGAGCAGGCAGAACTGCTCGAGGGCCTGGCTCCCGTCCTCCGCCATCGTGGGGCGACGCGGGGCGGCGCGCGGAGCGGCCTTTCGAGCGCTAGAGGTGGCGCGGCGGGCGGGCCTCGTGTAGAGTGACCGCCAAGACCAGGTCCTCGCCGACGAGCTTGATTGAGAGCGGCTCCTTTGGCATTTTGACCTTCGCCCTGCTTGGTTGCCGTCGACGCCGTTGCTGCGCGCCGCCGTGTGCCCGTGATATGGCAGGGAGCCCAACGTCGCCGCTCTACGTCCTTTTGCAAACGCCGCGCCGCGACGACGTGGAGCCGGAGCTCGACGACGAGCCGGAACTCGTCTACAGCAGCCCGGGATGGGGAGCCTACTGCTGCCCGCTTCGACGCTGGATGGTCGCGCGCCGCGTGGCCGAGCCGCCCGAGGATCCGCCGAGCGACGAGGAGATGACGCCGGCCGCCCCCGAACCGACGCCGATTCGGAGGAGACCACATTTCAAGACCGAACCGACTCCGCTCATCGTCGACGATCTCGAAGCCGTGCTCGGGACCGGAGTGCGCGGGCGCGGGAACATCGAGCTCGCGACCATGGACGACAACGACTTCCTGGACACCTTCTTTCCCATCTATCCGAGAACTCCGGCGCGGACTCGATGACGAGGGCCGCGACGCCGGGCGGCGACGCGGAAGGGTCTCGCCGCGGGCAAGTAATCGGATTTCGACGGATCCAGCCGAATGCGCGAGTGGAACCCTCGCTATCGCCAGCGGATATGGCATTTTGGACGAATCACGGACTCGACCTGACCAGGTAGGGTGCGTGCAGTGCGCGCCGCGACGGTAACCATCTCGGCATCAGAAACATTGAACCACTCGATCCCGAGGCCCGCGATTTGGTCTGCCGGCTGGGAGCGGCGTCGCGACGCGATTCGAACGCGCGCGCGCCGCCGCCGACCCGCAGACGTTCTCGCGACACCGCCGCGCGCACCGACACCGCGAAAAAAACACCAGCATGAACGTCGAGCTCACCGAGGAGGAGTGCTCGTCGTCCTCCGCGGCGCCCGCCGGCGAGGCGGCGGTTTCCGCGGACGCCGCCGCCAAGCCCCAGGGCCGCCACTGGGTGCGGGGCGTCGGCTACCGCCCCGGCCCCGCGCCCGAGGCCGCGGCGAACCCCGCGGCGGCGGCGCGCGCGTCGTCGCGCGTGCGCCGCGAGAGCGGCAGATACGCGAGCAGCGACGAGGAGGAGTCGCGGCCGAAGAAGAAGAAGAAGAAGAAGAAGAAGGCGGAGCCGGCGAAGCGGCAGGCGAAGAAGAAGCTCGAGGAGCGCGTCTGCCACATGACCGTGAGCGCCGAGGGCGCGGGCGCCGCGGTGACCAGGGCAGGACAAGAGAGCGAAATTCCCAACTTCAAAGGCTCCTTTCTCGGACGTTTTCCGCTCGTTTCGGCTAATTTTTGGACGAGCGATCATCTCTCGGAACGGTCTCGAAGCATGGATGCTTTTGTCGGAACGCGCGCGCGCGGAACACTCACGTTGAAGCGACGTTGAATCACCCTTGTGCTGCCCAGGCGGTGACGATCTCGAAGAAGGACGCGTCCATGACGTCGCAGCGGCGGCTGCGGACGGCGCTCGCGGAGCCGGCCTACGACCTGGAGCTCGTGCCGTCGGCGGCGCGCGATTTGGCCGGGTCGGCCCTCGTGCGCGTCGAGGGCACGGCGTCCTGGGAGCGGCTCATCGGCGAGATGCTGTTGTTATGCAACGAGGCGTCGTGGCGCTACGTCAGCGCGGAGCGCGCGCGGCCCGGCCCGCGGCGCCTCGAGCTGGCGCCGACGGAGCCCAAGCCCCTGATGTTGGAGTACATCAGCGACCGCGTCGACACGGACGAGCCGCTCTGGGGCTACGTCGCGCGGACGTCGGCCGAGGGCTGGATGCAGGGCTTCGTGTGCGTGACGCAGTTCACGACGTGGCAGCCCTACTTCCGCTGGACGTCCGGCGCGCCGTCGGCGGGCGTCACGGCCGACGACGTCGCGTCCCACGCCGTCGACGGCCGTGCGCCGACCTTGGACGCCGCGGCGTCCGTCGGCACCGGCGCGGTTTCTTTAACGCGCGAGCTCCAGTGCGCGCGGCGCGGCGGCGACCCCGAGGGCGAGGGCGTGGTCTGGCCCCGGGTCGCCGAGGTGTCGCTGCTGGGCGGTCTCGGGTGCGGCACGACGCTGCTGAACCTCGTGCTCGACGAGCTCGACGCGTCGGGCGCGTGCGACTTCGTGGTGTTGCAGGCGACGGACAACGCGGTGCCCTTCTACGAGCGCAACGGCTTCTCGCGCGTCGGCGCCGTCGCGTCCTTCGAGCAGCGCGCCGAGGCGCTGCCGGCCTTCGTCTCCGACCCGGCCTACGAGTTCCGGGGGCTGGGCGCGCGCGTCTACTGGGCGCGGCGCCTCGGCCGCGCGCTGCTGCGCGCGTTGGCGGCGTTGGACGACCAGCTCATCTTCTCCTACCCCGTGGACACGGTGGCCATCCCCATGTACCTCGCGTGGATCGAGCGGCCCATGGACTTCTCGACCATGCGCAAGAAGCTCGTCGACGGCGCGGCGCCGCTGGAACTCGCGGACGCGTACCTACCGGACGATCTCGTCGCGGACTTCGAGCTCGTGCTCGCGAACTGCATGTACTTCAACGGCAAGGGCTCCTGGCTCTGCGACTACGCCAAGGCCATCAGGCGCAAGGCCGCCAAGGTCATCGACCACTACAAAACCTACGCGCGGCTCTGGGGCCTCCGCGACCTCTACGGCGACGGCGGCTTGGACGTCGACGCGGAGACGCGGGGATCCTCAGA